ATATTGTGGTTGTTAAAGTAATAAAATGTGGGGATTTGTCAAAGGAATAACATTTTATATGGGTAGGTAGGACGTCTCTAATGAACATAGAGCTTATCCTGTTTGAGCCAATGACATCCAAAATTGGTGAGCTCAGCTGTTGAAGAAAGACAAAAAGAAGAGACAGAAAAGTTAGGGATTGCCGTATGTTTATATTGGTAGGGAATGTAGTTGAGACAAATTAAGCACATTATTAGGTATCAAATCAAATAGATTAAAAGATTTGCGTAACTGGTAAAAAAAATTGCGCAAACTTAAAAGATTGTTTTGTTAAATAATAATATAAAATATAATAAATACCAAGTGCATTAATTTTTATTTCATAAAAGGAATATTTTGCCTTAAAATTTTGTTGGACCTAGAATTCATCCTTTAACGTATAGTTACAACATCATATCTTCATCTAAAAATCTTAATAAAACGTCAAAGTGATGAGTCCTTTCACTTATATACTTCCTCTAGTCCTTAATATAATTGAGGGATTAGATTTGTTTCTAAATATAAGAATTCAATATGCTTTGTCTTTTATGTTCATCATTTTTCAAACTAGTTTACCTAACTTATAAAATGATATATAGTCTAATGTTACACAAAAGTATCTTAGGAAGATTAAGTCACATTTGTTATAAGCCACTATAACGTTGGAAGCAATGGTTATTTAGGTTGAATAGATAAGGAAAATATATATTAGGCTTCAATTGAAGACTCCCTCAATATAGTTTTTTTTCCCCCATTTACAAGGCATAACCTTAACCTATGTTTTGAAAACCATTAAAAAAATACTACCTCCTTCAGTCCTTGACATAAAAGGCAGACAACTAATTTAGAGTGATTAAGAAAATTAATTAAGTTAATTAATTGTAACAAATATGTATTGACTTTTCTAAATTATCATATTTAATCAGGTGCATGGGAACTGTCCTTTAGTATGAACCCTTTACAATTAATAGAGATATTTTTTAAAAAAATATTACAAATATAAAAGACAAAGTTGATTGAGGTCTTATATTTAAAAATTTAATATCTAATTAGTTTTTATATAAAAGAGCTCTGGTAGTGTTTTTGTAATTTTCAAGACAAAGCTACTTTCACATTTTGTAACCATCACTAACAACAGAATACACCGCAAATGCTATTTTTTTAAAAGTTTTATCACTCATTCCAATTGGCTGCATATAGTGCATGTTTGTTACGGAAGCAGGTGTGTGGGACCATGAGAAGGAATGATTAAAGGTAAGAGGCATTATTTAAATTTTGAGTTGATGGACTGTGCAATTGAATGCGAGGCTTGTGTGCTCTATACACGCCCCCGTTGGCTTTCCTATGATTTGAAACCTACCCACTATTATTTTAACCTCTTAATTTGTTGAGCAAATCATATTAATTCTCTCATTCTCTATTTAGTTAAATTTAATTACTACTTTCTCCTGTGCTAAATATAGGAGTTAATAATTAAATAGTTTATTTTGATTATAAATATAAAGCTCAATTTAATTACTTTATCAATCAAATTTATAATATTTTTCTACACTATCCATATTGATTGCATATGGGTTTCCATAAAAAAGTAGTTTCGACACAAATGATTAAAGAGAACATTTTAAGAAAACTAACACACATTTTTTTTATAATTAACTAGCTTCATTAATCTTCTTAATGTCTACAAATTATTTATCTATATTAGGACCTGAGGGGTATTAAATAATTTCTATAAGAAACTAATTTGACACATAAAAATAATAGTTCATCTGGTTCTTAATATAAAATATAAGATCTAGTTTGTAGTTCAAATAACAAGGACTGAAGGTAGTATTATAATTAAAAATATTTGACTTGTACCAAACTATATTCTTTTTATTCCATGATTAGTATGGCTCTCATGTACATCATTAAAATTAAGTTACAATACTTACACATATCTTGTAAATACTACAACTTATTAAAGTTTTATATTATATATAGATTTGATGAACATATAATAATCTGTTTAATTTTTGAAAGTCTTATGTAATATTATTGCACGCGTACGTGCGTGGCCAGTTATGTTTAATATATTTTATGCTAGAAATCATTCTATGGTACCGGTGCGTGTGTCTATATATATAGTCAATTAGTTCAATTTTTTAAAGTGCTATATATGTTTTAATAAAGGAAGTTTAGTTGCTCTATCCATTATGGCATTCTTCTAGATTTAACTAATAAACAAGTTGGGTTCGGAGGATATGCTCATAATCGAAGCCCCTTGAATTCTATGAATATTCTTCTACAAAGGCCCCATCATCATAAATGTAAGCACCACTATGGTAGATATTTACCAAATTTTACATATATTAATAACATCGCATGCATGATGGACTTAAAAAGCACATATTTTCCAGAGAAATTCCTACACATCATTTGGTTGACTTTTAACGTAAAGTAAATGTTCTTAAATTGCACTTCACCACATTATATCCCTTCATTTTAATTTAATATCTTGAATTTCACCCTCATCTATCAATTTTTCTGTAGTGGAGAATCCCCCAAGTTCCTTGTTTCGTAATAACAAAACAAAAGGCAAAAAAGTAGATATTTCATTTTGTAACTTCAATTTTTTATGATTTAATTAGGAGGACCCATTAGCAAAATAGCAATTGTCCTAAGCAACTTTCATTGAAAATTGATAATGGCAACAAGAAACCCCCACTTTTGAGTTGGTGGTGAGCAAGATAGAGATGACAAGGTATATCATGGGCACCTAGAAAAAGAAAGAAAACGAATCCTCATAGAAAAAGCTAAGAAAATTGTTTAACAAAGTGGAAGAGAAGACCTTTCAATGTTGTTCTCGAGACATTTGTTATACCATAAACTAATTCTCATAGCACAGAAAGCTATACCTATTATTCAGTTCTAAGCCACAAAGATATAATTGACATAGAAATGGGAAAAAGAATGTTGAAAGCAACAATCATTAATTTAAATAAAAGCGGATGACTGATGTTCAATCCCAAAAATTTAATTTACTAGTAAGGTCCCAAATTTTTTGTTTAAAGTTAATTAGGTAAAATGTAGAATTTTCAATGCGTAGATGATTAAGTGTTAAATGTCTAATTTACAAATGAGATTCTTTTAACTATTTACAATTACTTGAATTGATACTTATAACTCATTTTTTTAGCTATTTTTATCTTTATTTTAAATTCAAGTGTATTTGTGTGCGTGTGTGTGTGTGTAAAGCGTTCAATAGGATGGATTTAGACTCTATGTACTACATAGACCCTATTCATCGACCCAACACACAAAGATTTCTGTGGTCGACTATGATTTTATATTGTTATTGTGCCACAACATTTATTGTGTATTTTAAAATGACCTTGTTTTATTTTCATTATACCTAGGAATATATTCAATTAATGAGATTTAAATAACATCTTGATTGAGATTTGAATATATCAAATTAAATGGGAAACATTATAAATAAATGTAACTTCAAATGGAGGCTCAACCGAAGAAATTAATAATTAATAATTTTAAATGTGAATAGTATCTGAACTGGGATTTGAATATATTAAATTAAATGGGGTATATCATAATTAAATAGTATGTTAGTTGGAGGCTTAAATAGAAAAATAAATAAATAATTTTAAATTTTCATCTATTCCCCATAAATTCCACATCTCTAATTCAAATTCTATTAAAATGAATAAAAAAATATGCTCCTATTAGAAGTAAATCTTCAACTATTTTAGATAATGTAATTTATTAAAATTTTAAATCTAATAAAATATATTAATCCGTACATCATATGGGAGAAACATTTTTACTTTAAAACCAAAATTACTCTCTACAAGCGACTTAATTTTAGGACGGAGGTGTTATTTTATTGGAAGCTAATGAACAACATTAAATCCATTCCCAGTGAAACTTATCCATTTGCCCCCTAACTCTCACGTGTCTCTTCTCTCTCCCACCAAGTTAATTAACTGCTTTTTAAGAATCAAAAGATGATTTGGGCATCGCATCTCCTCTAGTATTTCTAATTGGAGTATTGTCACTTGTTAGAGCTTAATATGAAGCGACTCTTTTATTATTCTTTTCTATAAGAAATTGACTTTTATAGTGATACTCTTTTTTATTCTAAGTGTATGAGTTAATTAATGGGTTGTTTTCATTCTTAATGTAAGACTTCAATTTACATTATCTTAAAAAATTATAATTTATATAAATAAATTATCTAATAATTTTTATATTAAAAAATAGGACAAACCCTTTTTAGCTTGACAAAAAACGATTTACTTAATTCACAGAATGTCTAAGAAGAGAGACGTTCAAAATCAGTGTGTGAATAATTGGATTCTGAGGATTTAAAATAATAAAAATGGGTAAAGATTTAGGTACAAGATGTTAACAACTTGACCAAAATGATGCTTGAATGAGTATATATATTTAAGTCAGTGGCGCATGACTCATCAGAATTACAAAAAGTATGAAACACATTAAAAAAAATAATAATAAAATCATACAAAGTTTAATAATTCTCATAGATTCCCTTTTAAACTGGACTTCATTACGTCATGAGTCACGAGGGGTTATTATTTATTTATTTATTTATATTGGCTCCTTCATCAAGAGTTTTCAATTTTCAAAATTGCTTCCTGAATTTGGATAGGGTCTTCATGGAAATAATTAAATAAGTAAAGTAAAACTAAAAACTCTTCACCAACGCCCACACACGCCCCCCCCCTTCACACACACACCTATAATAATTGACTTTTAACTCGGTTTTCTTTTCTCTCATACATCGAACTGCTTCTATTTGCTTCGTCTCTGCAATAATTATATCTTTTCTTTGTTAATTTTAACTTCAACTTGGCCACCGGCCATATGCTATTCACAACACTGTTTATGAAGCTTATCAACGTAATGGGACTTGATGCTCCATCCTTGTAAAATATAAGTCACATCTTAGAAAATTTGGGATACTCATCACAATACCAGTCATTAATTCTATATAGAATGCTTGAAGGTAAAAGGGAAAAAAAATAGGATGTAGTGAGTATAAAATGTGTTACTATTAAGAGATGTGAGGATTAGAGAGATACTACCTTCGGTCCTAATTATAAAACCTCGTTTATAGACTATAAACGAGGTTTTAGAATTAAGACCAGAAGTAATACCATAAAGGTTCATGTAATTTTTAAAAAGTTAAAGAGGTTTAATTAACTGACACGATCTAACATAAGTAATTTTTTTTGTGAAAAAATTTTAGGAATCAAACTCACTTCTTTTAGTGGGCTCGCTCAATCTTTCAACTGCTGAACCTATAAATGAGAGTTTTTTATACGAGAAATTTAATCATTTAGAAGTCTCGATGCAAAAGAGGACATCAGATATATATTGCTTACTTATTGTAAAATATTTTAGTAATTAGATTGTTTATGTGAAATTGCACGATGATTTTTTTCTACTTTATATGTCTCAAAGGCCTACAAGGCTTGGAGTATATCCATTGATTCAAAAAGTGCTTAACAAATATATTAATAGTAAAATTTGACTTTACATTCTTATAAAGTTTAAGTCATATATATATACACATAGTAATTAGATCAGGATTGGATTTTTTAGCATTATATTTCTATAATTAATACGAATAAAATGTAAAACCCGGTCATTCATTCACTTATAAACCTAAACATGGTTAATGGATATAATATGATATATTTATAAAGCTCAAAACTTGTAAAACTAGCCATTTAAACAAAATTCAAACTTGTTGCAAAATAATTAGGTTAACTAGAAGAATTTAAATATTATGAATAAAAAATTACATTGAAACAATTCACCAAAAAAAAAATTACATTGAAACAACTGCTTCCAATTGGATACAATACTACGTGAATTTGATGGTATAGTACTCAAAAATCATACTCTTCTATTAAGATATATTTAATTAATTTGATTAAATTAAAAAATTAGGTAAGTTAGTTAATTATAAAAAATATGATATTTTTTCTAAAACATCATAATCATCTTTCTTAATATTCTCATTATCTCTCCTACTTGATTATAATTGAGAGAGTATTAATAGGAGTAATCTAGAAAAAGTTATAAATATGACAAATAAGTATTATATTTAAAACTAAAATCAACTCAATAATTAGATCATATATTAAAGATCGGGAAAGTATAATTTTAAGAGGCCCAAAAAAACAATCCAAGCTCCTGCAAACGTACATTTCCACCTTTTGGAGCCATCATCCTCCTATAAAATCCCATCCACTCCTCGCATCACCACATCCCATCATCATTGCCTGACCTGAGCCTTCACACACCAAATCAAATATCCACAACACACAAATCATCAGCCCCTCTCAACCATCATTATCATCATCTTCTTCCTGTAAATTTTGCAGCCATGATCCCTTCTGAGATCAGAGGAACAAGCCACTGCCTAACCCCAGACAAGCCATTCTTAATCCCACAAAACATCACCACCTTTCTTCCCGACACAAACCTTTTCACAAACCTCGACATAACCAACCTCCTTGGGACGACCACAACCCATCATCATCTTCTTCTTCACAGTGAATTTAACAATAATGTTGTTCCTGCTTCTTCTTCAACCTCTGATGAAGCTGAAGAGAAGCAGACAAGCATGATCGATGAGAGGAAACAGAGACGAATGATATCTAACAGAGAGTCAGCTCGAAGGTCGAGGATGAGGAAACAGAGACACATGGATGAGCTGTGGTCGCAGGTGGTTAGACTCAGGACAGAGAACCACAACCTTATTCATAGACTCAACCATGTGTCAGAGTCCCATGACAGGGCTCTTCAGGAGAATGTTAAGCTCAGGGAAGAAGCTTCTGATCTTCGCCAGATGGTTGCAGATCTGCAGATCGGCTCACCTTTTGCCAATACCCTCACGGATTTTGATGACTTCTGAGATTTCTATGAACATTAACATGAACAACACCACACAGACAAAATACATCAAAGTTTCGTACTTTTTTTCTGTGTCGTATGTATGATGTTCTGTATTGCTCTGTTTCTTACTTTCTTTACTCTTGCGAGCTGAATGAGTTTTACAAGCAGGTTATCCAATAACAGCTCTACGTGCCTCTGTTTATTTTTTTGCCCCCCAAGTTTTTTTCTGGTTTTCTCAATGACACCATCAAATTTTGGTTCTGTTCACAACTCAATGGTACGAAAAATAACTGTGTTTGATGTATCATTTTCACATCTTCCAACTTTTGGCAGTGCCATCCGTCACATTTGGATAGATCCCGGGTTTGAACCCAGCGTTAACATTTGTTTGTGTTTAAATTGACTCTAATAAAAAAAAACATAGAAGGTGGTATGATATTTGAAATTGCATTTTAATATTTCATGATTTGTCATTATTATACAATAGTGAGGAATGAGGTATTCAAGCGGTGGAATGGTAAACCAAGCCGTAGCCCATATAGGAAATTCAAGACCGATGAATAAGGGAAATGGGGGTGTTAGTGCCTCATTGTACAAATTATGATTTCTCTAACGAGCATATAGTTTATACATTTTGAAGTGTTAAGTCAGGAAAGTAACTCTAAAATTTAAAAAAAAAAAAAAAGACATTGAGTATAAGTATGCACTACGTTCATTTCTTCTTTTCTTGCATGTTCTCCTGCCTCTATCTCTTTTACTTAAAAGAGATGCTTTGTACTTCATCTATTTCTTTTTTTAACATCTCAAAATTTGAATTAGTTTAATCCTTTTTATATGATTCTACTTAGGGTTGTCTCAACATTAAATATATTTTTACCAATTTTATTCCAAATAGTTTTCATCCTCCCTTGTCACCTTTTTCTTATACTATATTCTCTTTCATAGTGAATAACAATTCTCATAAACAAACATGTGACAGTGGGCCATGAATTATTTTTTTTTTATGCAAATAATCTATCAGCGTCATCATAGTGTGTATATGGAAACCGGAAACCTTTTGGTCTTGATTCAAAGTAATGTCAAAGAGGCATTATCTGAGACTGAGAAGTTGCAAAAGCCCACTTTCAACATATCTTGAAACATGCCAATAGTCTTACAGCTTAATAACATGGAAGCTCTTTTATAAATGAAAGGTTATGGGTTTGATCTCACTTATAACCTTAAACTGGCAGAAGTTGCCTCTCTAAGTGAAAAGATATATATTTTGAAACAATTTTAGTAGCTATCAAAGGCAGTAAGTTTTTCTGCTTAATTATCAAGGTCTAATCATTCAGAAGCATGAAGGGGAAGTATTTGCAGAAAGAATTAGCTTGTTTTGAAATATATATGGCCGCAAAACATAGATCAGACAAGGGACAAACAAGGGTCGATCTTGTAGGCGGAAAGGAAGATGTGTGAGGAGCATCATGATTGTATTGCAGACAAAAAAGAGAACATCAAAACCCTCTTCCTTTGTCGAGAAAATTGTCAAATTGGATTACAATGCCTGCCTAACTTTTGAAAAAAAAAGTCAAAACCCCACAGGGCAGCACCTTCAAGGAAGTTTCCATGAATTGGAAGAAATCTGCTTCATTTTTGGAAGATCAATGCATATCTTATGACAATACTCCACCCTTGAACTTAAGGTTTGGTATGCTAATATATACACTGCACATAAATAATTAATTATTTTTCCTCCTAGTTTCTCTCAGTGTCAACCCAAGTTTGAAGAATGTGGAGAGTTTGATCTAAGCATAAAATAATAACAATTGAGCTGATCTGTTTCTGCATAGGCCTAATGAATCCACCAAGGGTTATCTGCTAAATAAAGTCAATCATTTCCAATAGATAGTGATTGTACTGTGGAAATACACAAGTTTTATGGCCAAATTGAATTGAAATTGGTGCTCATACGACAAGGAACTTAATAGAATACTAAAGAATAGTGACAACTTGAAACCTCATCATTTCTGGCTCCTCTCTTCCCCACCTCCCCTTCTTTTTCTGTGGGGTGAATTTCAGTTTTCAGTTTTCTGAGGCAAATGAAAGGCATTAAAGCGACAAAAACTGTTGAAATTCAAATTACTCTTAAAATGGTGTTATTGGCAGAACTGTACATGACAGCAGTATCTCATCAAAAAGTTTGTGAAACTGCCTTCCCCTGTTCATATGTCTGTTTTAACTTTTAACCATACCTTGCTGACGAATCTTCTGTGGATATTCTGTATTTTGTTCATATGTAGTTTCTTAGTTAAATCAAGTGGAACCCAAATTTTGCTTTTCTGCTATGTTCAGCAAAACAATTGCATGAAGCTCAATTAATATAAAATATAACCACAATGATGACGTTTCATTTTAACTTTGGAGGATTCATGAATGAGTCACTCTTGATAGTGACATGAATGATTTTTTTTTTAGTCACTCTTGATAGTGACATGAATGATTTTTTTTTTTTGGGGTTACCTTAGGATTAGGTGGTTTCACTTATTAACTCCTGGGAATCTCTAACAAAAACACATTTTTTTAATGCATCAGTCCTTTTATCTTTCACAAGGAAAAAGAAGTAAAAAAGACCTCATAGTGATGTTTGTTTTGTTATATTGGATAGCATTCAGAAGGGTGCGTAAGAGTATGACCATGCCTTGCTTAGATTTTTTTTTATCTTTAAATAGGCAAAACAAAAGATGAAAGCAGTCTGTAGACTACTTTCAAACGAAAAATAAATTTATCTTGTTTTAATAGTAGTTAAGCTTATATTCACCATGCTTTTGCTTCCTTCAGAATAGAAAAACAAGAAAATTTCAATTGAAGTTATCTAGATCAAATTATGAATGATAAATACTTATCTAATGGCAGCATCACATGGGATCTGCTACTGCACAATGTGTTTTAGGCAATGAAGTGACAAAAATGAATGTAGATCAGTGTATACAACAATTTAAACAGATAAAAGTTGATCACATAGAAGATGTTGGAATTGCACAGATATGTTAAAGACAGAAAAAGGGCAACTCAACCATCAGATATGTTAAACGTTCAAGATCATGACTAGAGAAATATGAAAAATTCAACACACAGTTCAACCCGGCAAGTCGAAGAAGATAACACATACAGATTCTGAATGTATAAAACATTTTCTCATACTACACCTCTACATCAAGTCTAAGATAATACATTTACAAATTATAAATCTAAATGTCTCATTTTCTAAACTAAAAACATATCTAAGCTATTGAAACATTGAAATAATCCTAACCATTTGATTATCAAATCTTCACTTCATGCACAAAATCTGTTTAAGTAACCCGACTTTGAATGGGTTGCATTAGAGGTGTAATAGCATTAAACATTCAGATTCCTTACACATACACACATTTGTCAAAGAGGATAATACTTCGAAGTCGTCCATAAATTAGTTTTGTCCTAACCACAAAACATACTTATCTTGAAGGTCTCTTTCAAATTATTCTGAAGTCTCATGTTAATGATTTCCTAAGTTCTCCTAAAGCAATGGCATTTATGAACTCGTTGGAAATTTTGCAAACAACAATAGTAAAAATCAGATAAGAAAATGAGGAGTTTCTTTCGCACTTTCCTTTTCCTTTGGTTCCTATCATAATCATTGCCCTCTTTGGACTTGTGGTTGTTATCCACGGTCTGGTCTTGTATACCATTCTCAGATCACTACACAAAGCTTCAATGAATGATGATGACTTTCTCATGGTCAGATAATCACCGCCACAGAGGAAAAACTCTCAGGGACACTCATTCTAGAAAGATATGATTTGACTAAACCAATCATAAGTAAACATATTCAACTCAGTGGTTTGGTTTACCTATGAATAGCAGACTTACTATAGATTTAGGTGATATATAGATGTATAGAGAGAGTCCATATAAGAAGAATCTTCAGTGAAAATTCAAATAAAATGCGATGAAGTAGCAAAAACTATTACAACTCAAGCTACTCTTAAAATAGTGTTATTTGCAGAGCTGTACTTGACATCAAAATCTCATCAGGAAGTTTGGTTTTGAAATTGCCTCCCCTGTTCATATGTCTACTTTAAGCAGAACTTTTCAGATGAACCTTCCTTGGATTTTCTATATTGTGCTCAATTGCTATTGCTTAGATGGATCAAGTGGAATCCAAAATTTACTTTTCTGCCATGTTAGGCAAACGATCACTTGATTCTCACTTATTTAATATAAAATATAATCACAATTATCACAGTTCATTTTAACTTTGCAGGACTCATACGGAGTCACTCTTGACAGTGACATTTATGCGCTTCACTGCTTTTCTTTCCTTTTTTTTTTTTTTTTCCATTTCGGGATTATGTGTTTTCACCTCTTTCACTTCCTTTCCTCTGTCGCGAGGATAAAGACCCATGAAGGGATTAGGCCGCCTTAGTCATACTTATGTATGCCTATGAATATTCTGTAGTGCTCTACAATATGCATTTAGAAAGAAAGAGACATAAAGTAAGCATTATCTTTGAAGAGAAATAAACGTCCGTGGCATAATCCACTTTTCAATGTGGAAATTATAAAAGATAATCAGATGGATTATGTTGGGATTGCACATATATGTTTAGAGAACAAAGAAGGAACACAAACTTCAAAATTGGTTCTTGAAAATTCAACACACAATTGAACCCAGCACATTTAGTCAAAGCAGATAATACATACTCGTTTGTCAGAGGATAAAAGTCCAGCCACTGGTTTTATCTCAACCGCACAACATACTTAGCTTTACTTAATGACTCGTTGGAAAATTTGCAACCAACAAATCTTGTTTGGATCTCAAATTTTTCAAAACCAGATAAGCATATATCATCAGTGTCTTTCCCACTTCTCTTTTCCTTTCCTTCCTTTCATGTGCCTGACCCTGACACGAGGACTTGTGATTATTTCAGATCATGTCGACTGCTTTTAGATCACTATACAACCCTTCAACACTTGATAATGAATTGCTCGAGGACAGAAATCATTATAAAAGATACAGTTTGAGTGACCAATCATAAATGAATGCGTAAATATGTGAAACTCAACTTTCAGTGGTTGGTTTGATCTGCCTATCTTTCTTGCACATTGAATCTATACAACAATCTTCAGCAAAAAGTCAATGTTCTATAGTTATACCATATGCCATCAAGACTTCAATGGCTTTCAAACTCTATTTTGAGAAGGATAGCAGTTCGTAGCCATCAAACAGCTTATAGATAGTCTGACCATCAATTTCAAGCTTAAGGACACTTATCATTACACTCGTCTTTACAAATTGTTCATATTATAATATTCGAGACTGGTTACACTTTACAAAGTGCTGATTGAGAATATAAAAGCAAAAGAGGGGAGGAAAAAAAAGAAGCAAATAACAGCAGTAAAGTTCAAATTCATGGCCCGTTAGTGTCTTGTGTATAGATATAGTCCGCATGAGCAAGCACAGTTTCTCTAACCAAACAATCTTCCCTGCCAAGTCCTTTACAGTACTGATCATCATAGCCGTTGTTCTGCCTTGACTGCTCCTACATACACAGTCACGGACAAAACACAAACAGGTACTGTGCATCAGTTCACGCGTCAAACTCCAAAATGACACAACAATACAAGCACAAGTTCGGCATGTTTAATTGAACAGAATGACCCATAAGGCTTTAAAAAAGCATATAAATTTATAAACCACTTACAGGTGATGCTGCTAGATGGAAAGGACTATGAACTGATCTGTGAGGAGCAGAATCTGGACTAATGACTCTGCCTTCTGCAACACTGAGTACAATAAGAGAGATAATGAAGATATATACCGACTTAGCCATTCTCGTTGGCTCTTAAATAAGCATGCATATAGCTTTCAGTATATGGAAAGAGAATCAGAGAAGAAACTGAGTATAGGAAGAAGAAGAAGGTAGGCTATGGAATGATATGAGAGAAGTGGGGTTGTGGGGATTGAAGCTTTTTCTTTGGGATGAAGAGTTATATGAACATACAATAATGGGGCTTTGAATGAATGCGACCAGAAAGTCAAAACATATTCAATGTCCTCCACTATTATAATATAAAAAGATCTATACTTTCTGGCTTTCTAGGAAACAACATATGTTTAATTAGAGACATTATTGAGAAGTTCGTTCTTTGTTTTGTTAGGTTATATTTTTATTGTTCGGTTTGTGTGTTTGATAATGAGAAACGAGCTGTACTGGCGGCAAATTGTAAAATACTAGCATCCTCACATGCATGTGTTGGACACCTGTTGATGTTGTAAGCCTGTGGGGTGTCTTGGTGGGCTAGGGCTACAACTTTGCCAAAGTCCAATCTTCTCCTACCCATACACTCGCTCCGATGTTTCTTATAAGATATTCCCTGGTATTTATTATAAATTTCAAATAACTACTTCAAATAATTAATTAAATTTAATTAAAAATAATAAATATGTTAGAAATATATTTTTGTTTCTAAATATGTTTTTAAAATAAATGAGAAAAAGGGTTAAAAAAATGTGGGAAAATGTAACAAGAGAAAAATAATTAAGGACGGTATTGGAAAAACACATTAAATGTTAAGATAAACTCAAATTGAAGTTTGTAAAATAGACATATTTTTTTTCTAAATTTAAAACTTATAGATAGGACCTGAGGGAATACTTTTAACTAAATTACATGGTTTAGAAAAACAGCTAGAATTAATTAAAAGTAATATTTTAAGGTTGAATTTTTTTCAAAGTATGCCCATATTTAATAAGAGACAAACAAGAGTGAAAAAATATTAATAATAAGATAAAGGATAAAAAAATGAGAATAGAGACTAGGAAATTAACCAGAGAAAAGTTAATAAAAACGTATTTAATATTCAAACACTACTAAATAAGATCATATAAAAAGGATTAAATTAATTCAAATTTTAGAATCAATTAATTCAAATTTTAGAATCTTATAAAAGGAATGGTGAGAGTAGTTTTTCTTCTTTTAATGTAAACTGAAACTCGAAAGAATGAGGCCACGACATCACGATCAGCTTCTCTCACCAATATCCGCATCTTATTAAAAAAGAGGGTGATTAAGAAACTGTTCGGAATGATTTATAATTAACTTTTTAATTATAATTTGCAGAATACGAAAGTATGTGA